AAAAAAAAAAAAAAACATTCACAATACTATAAAAACAAAAACAGATAAAGAGAAACTAGAATCGCAACTAGCGTGAATCTTTACAACATACAGCAGCCGTGATAATTTTAGGAAGTTTGGTATCCTACAAATCGCTTATTTATTGGCTACGCGCAAAATTTTACCGCATATTTTACAATGCAAGACAAGGAGGTGGAAAAATGCGTTCAGATACAGCCCTCATTTTCGACATGGTGATCACTGTCCTGATCAGGCTATCGACAGCTTCCAGTTCTTAGTACTATTTTAAAAAAATAGGCTGAAAATTGTTGTGACTTCCCGATATGCGTTATTATCAGTGTGCCATTGAAATTAATGAACAAGTCTTTGAAAAATCGGTTTCACCACTACAGAAAGGTGAACTTTAAGTCAAACTTATCGATAACCTTTAAATTTACGATTTGAAATACAAGAAAGTTTTGCAAACCGGCAAAAGCCGCATGAATTAACATCCTACAAAGGTTTTATTGTTGCTGCTGATATTCGTTGGAAAAAATCGAGCTAGTTCTAAACTAGTTGCCATCCGTAATGTTCACAAAAAACGAAAATTAACTCAACAATTAACAAATATCTGTTCCTAAGTAACATAGTATTTAGTCTAGAAATAACGGAATTCCCTTTGTCTTTTTCAAAATAACATAGTCGATACAGGCCAAACATGAGCGATTTTGGGACTCTGAGCAGTACGAGGGCGATTGAGTAAAAAAGCGCAAAATTTATCCGTAGAGATATGGTATTTTCTACTCCTACAGTTAACGCAGAATTTTCCACAGAAGAAAAATTTCTTTGAAAGAATGCACAATTTGGCTAAAAAAACCTAAAACTTTCTTAATTTGAGCCAGAAAAATGAATAATTTGGCCCCCAAAACGTCAAATTTAGCGTTGAAAGATACGAGTGGCCGGGGAAAAACAGAAAAAAAAAAACAAAACGAAAAATAAAATCCCCAGTAAGCACTGACATATCCGGATGTGTGCATGAGAAACAGGTCATCATTATGGCACCGACATCTTAAGTAACATAAGATGTAAAAATGCTACGAGAATCATCCGGAATGTGAAAAAAAAAAAACCACAAATATTATGCTGCAACTAGCAAATATAGAATGTACATACGTGAGAAAAT